CAGGATGAGGTGACCCTTTTGTGGGTATTTATAGAGATCTGGGGGGGGCGGTGCTCCTGCACTCTGAAGATGCCGGTCACAGGTGCTGGCGAAATGTTAGGAAACAAAACTTCCAGAACACGGCCACACAGCCCGGAAGACCCACACCAGCCACTGCCTATATATTTACCTGTTTCTGTGATACTGACCTGTTATTCCCAGAGTTCATTCTGCAATGCAACTCACAACCCATTTGGACAGCTTATATTACCTAATGCCATTGCCTATGCATATTTCTCCCACAGCTTACCTATCCAGGCATTTGGCTCCAGGCATTTGGCTCTGGGGTATACTAATTACTCAACAGTTTCAGTAAGTGTGGATGGTTAGATATATATTTTTTACGAGAGATGAACTTGTTTATTTAAAAAGTGCAACACAGAGACAAATGCTTGCATAAATGTAAATCAAGTCCTTAATCTTGTAGTTACAGTATACTTACATCAGCCATCTACAAACTTTTAAGACTGCATTAGTCTGGAAATACATTATGAACTTGAACATGAAAGAAAAACAGAAGAACCAATCTTAGAATACCCAGTTTGTGAACTCCTGCTCTAAAATGCCTGAAGAATATTAAGGTAAGTATGACGGAAAAACAACTTTGTACATTACCAAACCTGTGCCGCTGGAATTTATTGTGACAAGCCGACAATATTTTTTCCTCTCCTGGGAAGCTCTTGATACTACTAAAAAAAAGTGAAAGCAACACTAGGAAACTAGAGGGAACAAAGTACACAACTGAGACTGGAATGTGTTGCAATTATGGCTGTTAAATGTCTACTAAAGTGAACCTGTGCTCCAGAAAAATGAATGTTACCTCAGGGAGACAGAATAATCTTCAAGAGAATATGGGATATAAGTATCAGAAGCCTTTTGTACTTTGAGTCACATGTGAGATGAACACAAAGGGTAGCAAATTTCTTTATTTTTTGTATCACAACTTTGTCATTTTTAAAAGTTAAATATTGTTTCATTATTTCTTCTTTTTAGCTGCTAGAATAATGGAGAAGGAAAAGTTGTCTTTTAAAAAATTAAACATTTTTTCCTGTGGTTTTCATAATAAATACCTGATATAACCATTATAGTATGGGTGTACAACCAGATGCTCCCACTTAAACAGCAGCATCCCAAAGCCTACATGGCATCACCAGGTCTTCTACCAAAGTTGTCAACAATATGTTAAAGTTTTAAAGTGACAAACAGGATCATTAAAGTCAGAGAGAATAACTGTATTTGATTAATGTAATTTAAATTAAAATTTAATCAAAATTCATTTTGTCCTAAGTCTATCCCTTTCTAAAGTGCAACCACAGTCCACTGCTGCATTATTTAAAAAAGTTACTAAGCTCATGATTCCAAAACATAACAAAACATAATTTTAGAATAATACAAAATGATTCAGTGATATTATGATTCTGCCAATATTATATTTGAATCCATTCTCCTTTATGATCCACTACTAAGAATCATCAACTATTCTCAATATTGGCTGCTCTACTAAGTAGAGTGATACTTTTAGAAGGTTCGTTATATTTTAATAAGTAATGACCCAAAACTATTCCACTTTCTTCAATTTCACAGAAAAGAAACTGCTTTAAATTTTTATTTTTTAGAAGAAATTGTTAATAAGAAGCAGGATTCCTTGTCCTTTGTAACAAGTTCCTTTTCCTTTGTTACAATATAGGCAAGAGTATAAAAGCATCCAGGTTTTTTTCCTGAGAATTTTACTTTGCAAATAAATTAAACACAATGTATTGTCGAAGGCTTTCACTGCCGGCATACGATGGCTGGTGTGGG